CATCTCTACTATAAAAATAGAAAGAAATTAATTAGCCAACTAATAATATATATATAGAAAAAATTAGCCGGGCATGGTGGCGCATGCCTGTAGTCCCAGCTACTTGGGAGGCTGAGGCAGGAGGATCACTTGAGCCCAGGAGTTTGAGGTTGCTGTAAGTAAGCTAGGCTGACGCCATGGCACTCACTCTAGCCTGGGCAACAAAGCGAGACTCTGTCTCAAAAAAAAAAAAAGAAATTATGAGTCAAAATATGGTAATCAAATGCTTACTATATAAAGAACCAACACACATCAATAAGGAAAACTCTAGGACCCTGTGTTGCTGCAATAAGGCTGCTTTTACAGGCCCTTAAACTCAGCAGTTGAAAACTCACCCACGAGTCTGGGGGTCAGCTAGGGTTTGGCAAAAATGTGGCCAGGCTTGGCTCCAGATGACAGGTCAGATTCAAGGGGCAACGGCTACTCAGGGGCATGGGTATTTGCAAGCTTATGACATGGTAAACAGGACATAAGCTATGGTATCATTTACTCCACTGAAATTACCTCGTCATAAAATACTAATTAAAGGAGGTGACCCACTAGGCCATCCTAGGAGACCTGGAGGAAGAGAGCAAACGCTAAGTTCTCAAATGTTGGTGACACCAGATGGAAGGTAAGCAATACACTTTTTAGGCTGGAGGTTCATTTGCGGGACCCAATAATGCCTGTCAACACCAACAAGCTTGCCAAAGCATTAGCAGGGAAAAAGCAAAAGGGTGTTAAAAAGAAACTAAAAGAGGAAAATGGGAAGAGTGTAGCGTGCTGAGAGCCACCAAAAGCTGCCTTGGCTGTGTGGGCTGGTGTCCAACAGGAGTCAGGATAGTCGAAATGAGCATTAAATTTAGCCATACACACGTGGAGGGTGTTTATTCTTATGGGCGAGTAATAAGTGGAGACAGCAAGTCACTGTTTATTGGTCTGTGATTTGGGTTCCTCTTTAGGCAAATGGATCAACTCACCAACTCCCTGCCTCTAGAAGTGGGCCCAAGGCCCAGCGGATGCTACCTTTCGGTGATCGGGGTTTATGCCATTCATATGATGTGTGATAAAATGCAGGAGGTGCAAGTGGTTATTAACACTGATTAACTAAAAGTTGGCCACCAGCACATACAGCCATTGTTTCCAGTAGCACTGTTTAGTGATTGGCTTTGGCTGGCTTCACAAAGGACAAATGCCATTATGGGAGACCAAATAACCTTACTTAGGCAGTCCTCAGATAATAGAGACACTCCAGGTATTAGCCTGACTGCATTAGTCTGATTTGTTACTACTGTTCACCTTGTCCTGGGCATTAATGGAGACAAAGGCCTAGAATCACCAGCAGCAGAGATAAGGTGAGGATTAGAGCCTGTGTGTTTTGGAAGAAAGATAATTCTATCTTGGGTTTTTATTTCCATTTTCATTTTCCTTGATTTTTCCTCAAAGTTATAGTCCAGTTTTTTCCCTCTGACTATAATATTTTCTCCAAATTACTAGCAACTGTAATTCCAAAAATATTACTGACTCATATCATTTAACAAGATCAGCCTTTATCATTTAGGTTTTTGAAAATGATTTTAGGGGAAATATACTAGTGATCTTATACATTATCTTGCTTTTTGAATATTCTTATGTTATGAACTTTCTTCATAAAAGTTGTAATAGAACTGATATTCTGTTATTAATATCAAAAAATATAAAAAGATGTACATGTTACATTTGTAGTCATTTCTTTAATGTTAAAAATTTTAAGTATTATTGTAATTTTTCTGAATTCTAAGTGTTACTTATTATAAATGTAACATTTCCATATATAAATATAATATTTCTATTACACTTTAATTATAAATATATAACTTCAGATATAAATACTATTTCAAGTATAAATAAAATTGAATTTTAGGACCACATAAATCAGTTATATAAAATTGTTGCTGGAAAATTTGAGATAATAATATTTTCTCCTCATCAAGACTTTTTTATAGGTTTCACCAGTTTTGTTGTTTTTTTTTAATCTTTAAATTTTTTTCAGTGTTAATGCTGTTGATCTATAACAATCTGCTGAGGGTAAAATGCCAAAGAGCCCTGATGCTTTTTAGATTTCAAATCTGTAGACAAGTGAAGTTACAGAAAATGCATTTTCCCGTGAGAATTATTTAGCACAGGTAGCCTCGATGTTTAGGGTTACTTTATATAGAACCATTGAGCATGTAAAATCCAGCTTTATAATTACAGGCAGGTATGATGCTGCCCAGAGGGAATTTCACCAGAATATATCACACTTGACGTTCCTGTTGTCCCCCAAGGCAGGTGTCCAGTTTTTATCTTTAAAAAACAGTAAGTGCATTATTAGTTGTTTGTGTCTGTGTTGCTGTTTCATTGTTTTCTAGATTCTATAATTTTTACAGAATCCTCACACTCCTTAGGGATTTGGGGATAGGTTTAATTTTAGATAAATTCTAGATAAATTATGATTACCCTTTGAAAAAACTTATGAAAAGTACTACTTCAAAAATGCTTAAATATTAATGTTAATATTAATAGCTTCTTATTATGACAAGACTTGAAATCTTGCGCTAAACTTAGCAGACATTAAGGAGACAGCTAGAGTCCTGACATGGAAGGAAGTCGGAAAAGATGCAGAACAGAATGTCGAGTTTGATCGCATTAAAAAAATAACAGCAGGGGCCTGGCACGGTGGCTGACGCCTGTCATCCTAGCACTCTGGGAGGTCAAGGCGGGCGGATTGCTCGAGGTCAGGAGTTCGAAACCAGCCTGAGCAAGAGCAAGACCCCGTCTCTATAAAAATAGAAAGAAATTAATTGGCCAACTAATATGTATAGAAAAAATTAGCCGGGCATGGTGGCGCATGCCTGTAGTCCCAGCTACTCGGGAGGCTGAGGCAGGAGGATCGCTTGAGCCCAGGAGTTTGAGGTTGCTGTGAGCTAGGCTGACGCCACGGCACTCACTCTAGCCCCGGCAACAGAATGAGACTCTGGGCCTGGCGCGGTGGCTCACGCCTGTAATCCTAGCACTCTGGGAGGCAGAGGCAGGCAGATTGCTCGAGGTCAGGAGTTCGAAACCAGCCTGAGCAAGATCGAGAACCCGTCTCTACTATAAATGGAAAGAAATTAATTGGCCAACTAATATATATATAGAAAAAATCAGCCGGGCATGGTGGCACATGCCTGTAGTCCCAGCTACTTGGGAGGCTGAGGCAGGAGGATCGCTTGAGCCCAGGAGTTGGAGGTTGCTGTGAGCTAGGCTGACGCCATGGCACTCACTCTAGCCTGGGCAACAAAGTGAGACTCTGTCTCAAAAAAAAAAAAAAAGAAAAGAATGAGACTCTGTCTCAAAAATAAATAAATAAATAAAATAGCAAAAACAACAAATACAACAAAAACAACAAATGTGTGTATATATATATACACACATAGATGTTTCTATGATACACAAAAATCTATACAAATGTTTAATGATGGTTATCTGTGAAGGATGATATTTGTGAAGGATGATATTTGAGAGGAATTTTACTCTATTTTTATACTGGTTAAATTGCTTACAGCATGTAAATATGACTTTGGGGATTAAAATAGAAGCTCACCCACCACGTGACGCACTCCCCTCCAGCCCACCCCTCAAGGCCTACTCTTGGTGATTTCCAGCCCTGCAACTTGACACGGTTTCATAGGAGCCCACTGGAGAGCAAAGCAAGCTCCTGGTGTATAAATTTTGACTAATGTATTTCATAAGTAATGCTTCAGATTTTATATTAATGGAAGCAGCTCTTTATATCGGAACAAGAGGCCCAGTCTTTCTTGGAAAACATTTAATGCCTCTGGTCTTCCTGTTTAGTGCCCTGCTACCCACCTTTCCCTCCCCTTTCCCCCTCCGTCTCCATCTCAGTCACAGTGGGACTACCCAGAGCTTACTGCTGACGGGTTGTCGAGACACAGAGCTTCCTTCCCCAAATGTGCTCTCAGTAAATGATTTTAAAGAGCTGTAAAATCTGAGGCATGCTGCTTTTCCTCAGAAATAATATACAAACCCCCTCTAGTTCTTCACATATAAAAAAAAAATTCCAGAAAAGAACAGTGGTTATAAATTTAATAATTCATTGAGAACCTTGCACTTTGGTCATCACTGGAAGAGGTAAAGGACAGAGGAAAAGAAAAAAAAGAAAAGGGAAGCAAGAGATAATTCAATCCAAATGGACAAAGGTGAAATATGGCTTCCAGCAGACAAAGTTACAGTCTTCAAGCCGGTATTTCAAAAAAAGACAGCACCCACTTAGGTCTTCCATTAACTGGAAAACAAATAGCCAGATTTCCAGTGGAGAGGACTCCCTTCTTGTCATACAACTTATCCTATTCCCATCTTTAATTGCCAGGTACAACAAGAAAATGGGAAATGAAAACACATAGTTTTTGTCACTTGGAAAGTGTCCTCACTATTTAGTGATGATGTCACTTACAAAAGGCAGGTCGTTATCCTGCCTTCTCAGTCAATGCAACATTGTAAGAACATAGACACTTGATTGGAAATCATTAAACTGGGATTGGTATAAACCAGATGACCATTATCCCTTTAGCGAATGAAAGTAAAGCACAGCATTAAATAAACTAGAAAACTATTTTAAAATTTGCATTTATTTGCGGCTCAATTCTTTTGTACAATGCAATACCAATGGTATGAGAGCTGATGCTTTTATATTTCCATTGCATAATGAATTTGCTTTTAAAAAAAACTTGAAACTAGCATGCTATAGGAATTTGTTTTGATATATGGTGAGAAATTTCTCACTGCTTTATGCCATAAATCAAGTAAAACTGAAGATTCAAAAATATGTCATATTATACACTATAGTTAAGCATAATCATGCTTCGAAATGTGGTTGGAGGAACTTAGTTGAAACATATTACACCTTTGTTCTTCAGATTATTTTACTTCAAATCTTATAGAATCACTTAGTCATGAGTTTATTGATTTTAGCAAACTAATTTATTAGATTAACTTTGCTCACTTAAAAAATAGTCATCTTTTCTGAAAATGTTTATTAAAATATATAGGAAATGTCTTTATTGTAACTAAAAGTGGCCAAATAGAATATGTACCATGCTATAATAGTAATTATTTACAATATATTTTCAGAAAAAAATGATAATATTCAAATTAAATGCAGGAAAGAAAAAAATCACATTTTCAACACTTTATAGTTCCATTCATTTGTCATGCTCTGCAATTAGAAGATAATTTCACATGTTTAGTTTTCTACCTATTCCAGGAAGTTTGTGTCAACATTTTTTTTCGCCATTATAAACTGTGATTCTCTATGGGACCTTTTCAGCTTTGCACGCCGATTTTGGAACCAAATCTAAAATTAAGGAAAAATAACATAGGTCTCAGAAACATTATTTTATTATTCTTAATATTTCAATCAGCATGAGCAACAACTAAATTTTAAAATTACCTGGATTCTATCTTCCTCTAGATTCAATTTTCGGGCTAAGTCTTCTCTGATATCAATGCCAGGGTAGCAGTTTACTCTAAAGACATTTTCCAACACTTCAATCTAAGAATAAGGAAATAATTCTTTAAAATGTTGGTCTTCACTATGTCACCGAAAATGGGCTTTAATTTCCACAGCAAAATAACTGCATTTAAAGCTTTGGCAATTAACCTGAATGCCTTTTTAAAAATGATTATCTAGAAATTGTTAAAATTTGATAGTCTATTGTTTCATTAATAAGGCTTCTAAACTGAGGTCCCAAAATGAATGGGCTTCTGCTCCACAGGGTGTCAGTTAAAGCGTTTGTATTATTATTATTGGATGGAAAAACTTCCCACCTGGTTTTGAGTAAAAGTAGTTCTGGGTCTTCGGCCTCTATACCAACTCAATTCTCTTTTCAAAGACAGTCTTTCTGAGGCTGAAAAGTAATTTTCATATTTCAAAGCTCTTTCTTCTGGCATTGGGGGATCCAGAATGCAAGGGAATGCGATCCCACTGGGAAGGCTCGGGACATGTAAACATGTGTTACCATCTTTCCCTGGAAACAGAAAAATAAACCCCATCTTAGATGGCCACTCCCATGTTCCACAAAGTTCCATAAGAAGTAATCTCTGGAACTTGTCTTTAACTTCCTAGTGGAATTCTTCTGGGTTTCACAAAAGAACTGCCCCCTCATCAACTGAAAACCAAACAAAAATGAAGATCCTGCCTTGGTAATCCTGTCTTTTGGTCTCTGGATGTCATTTATTTTTCATTGAAAACAGATTTCAAGTATCTAGTGCGACACACACACTCACAATGCACGCAACACACACACATCTTCTGAAGTAAAAGCAGGTTGTTGGCATTTCCTGTGCATGAACTTTATATCCACTTGGATCTTAGGCTGCTACTCTCTTTATTTCCCATAGGACTCAGCTGGAGGCATTAAAAGTCCTAGATGCTTCAGTTATGTAATTGAAAGAAACTGCAGTTTCTCTCTATGTAGTATGACATAAAGGCCAAATTAAACACTGCAATGAAATAACAAGGAGTTTAAAAAATTAAGTTGTAGCATACCTGAGGGGCTGCAGGTGTCGGCCCAGGGCCTGTGGGGTGTCACTGATGGGACGCAGTCTTTCTTCTGGGCCAGTCCTAAGATGCTCTCAATTGAAAAGGAGCAGGGTGAGGGTTTGCTTTCCCCAAGTCGGGCACCTTCCTGAAGGCTGGGAGACATCCTGCCATGGGCTGCACACAGGCTGGCCTCTCCGTGGCTCTGCGCCGCGCTCAGGGCTGAGGCCTTCCTGCGCTTCACCTTAGAGCTCCGCTCACAAGGGGGCTGGGTTCAGAACGCCACTAATTACAATCCTGTCTTAGGAAGTTTTAGCATGTCAATGAACACTTGCCCAGCCAGCAGTTTAAGGAGTTAATTGTTTATTTGTTTGCAAGTAATTAGCAACTAATGGCTACACCAGGGGCCACCTACAGGGACAGAAAGTGTTATCTCTCCGAAGCAGAACACAGACTTAACTTTCTGGAAAGAAGTGATGCACAAACGTAGCACTCCTCTTTTATTTGAAATCATTAATGTATAAAATCATGCTTTTTATTCTGAAGTTTATACTTTCACAGACTCCAGTTACCTAAACATACAGGCAAGATAGGAGAGCAATCAAGTAATAAATATCTAATTTAAGTGAATTTTTGTCCAAGGAAATTGGAAAAACGAATAATCTCTTAATGCTATTATAGTAATTCTGATGAAGATGCCTGTTTTCACATGCATATGTAACGGTGAACGTTGCCAATGAAAACACAATGGCATTGGGAGGGCAGCACGCTGGAAAAGGTTGGCAACGTTATTAACACTGAGTGTAATTGTCTTCTAAGTGCCTGGATTAGTACGTAGGAACAGTTGCACCAAGTATTTTAAATAATTAGTGGGCTAATTCCTTTCCTTCACCTTTTCTTTTAAAGGAGAGAGACACAAGTTTATGTGAAGATTCATATGTAAGCACCTCCAAGCAATTTAAAAGCAGGGCTATTTAAAGAGAGTAATTTCTCTCCTTACCACATTTGTTTCAAACATAGCTTACTTTGTAAAGAAAAATTTCCCCCTTTTGATCTTTTGAGGGATGGAGCAGGGGGCAGGGGCCTTAAGAAGATGATAAAACTTGTGAAAAATAACCAAGAATAAAATACTTTAATTTTTTAATCCTTAAAAAAACTCGAAATTAAAAATAAAGTAGAACTGCTAATGGGGGGGATTTTGAAGTGGCTATGCCCCCTCCACTGTCAAAGGTATAATACTTGTAGTTCTTGTACTCTGCTCCTCCTCTTCTTCTAGTACCTTCTTGAAGATAAATTTAAGGGCTCAGGTTTAAACAACTGCCAGACTTTTCTTCAGGGAAGAGGAAAAGTAGTCTTCACTCACAAAGGAAATGGCCACTACAGGACAGAGCTCGACTCTGTCAGATTTTATCCTGTCATGATCCCACAGATGTTAAGCTAAATCCCTCCTTACGCAAACTCTCAGCTGAACAAAGGATCTCACACACAAAACACCAACAGGCACACAGAAGAATAGGTTTGGAAATACGCATGTGAAACCATTCTGAGGATGAATAAACCAGTAAGCATTTGTCCTTCATGGAGACGTTGTATATGGTGTTGAGAGGTGACCTTAATCTGGGAAGACTAGGAGGCAAAGCAAGAACTCAGGACCTTCCCAGATGTTTTTCTCTCCTTTAGACCTTCCTTCCTCCCACAATTTGTTGAGCACTGACTCAGGACCAGAAAAAACAGAATAGGAACTTCACCTGCACGCAGTTCACAGCAGCGGAGGAGGGCAGGGAACAAACAGTCATCACAAGTAAATTATCTAGTCTGTCAGTGCGCAGGCGCACCGCCCGCTGCCACAGGTCGGCCACGGCACCTGCTGGAGCAGCTCCAGTTCCCAGTTTCTTCTGTATTAACAAGTACATTCCAGTGTTTTAATTCAGCTTGATTTGATTTGATGTGGATTTACAGAACCCTATTTAAATACAGATGAGTAGATGAAAATAAAAGGCAGGAAAAAAATTCTCTAAAAATGTGTGGAAAACATTTTCTGATATATTCGTTCAACAGATATTTTTAGGGCACTTAATATGTGCCAGACACTATCTATAGATGCTAGAGATCAGCGAGGAACAAAACGTGGCAATTTTCCCCAAAGGCAATCAAAGCAGCAACAAAAATAAATAAATGGGACATGATGAAACTAAAAAGCTTCTGCACAGCCAAAGAAACAGTCATGAAAGTAAACAGACAACCTACAGAATGGGAGAAAATTTTTGCATCCTACGTATCTGATAAAGGGCTGATAACTAGAATATACTTAGAACTCACGAAAATCAGCAAGAAAAAATCAAATAACCCTATTAAAAAGTGGGCAAAGGACTTGAACAGAAACTTTTCTAAAGAAGACAGAAGAATGGCCAACAAACATATGAAAAAATGCTCATCATCTCTAATCATCAGGGAAATGCAAATCAAAACTACAATGAGATATCACTTAACTCCAGTGAGAATGGCCTTTATCAAAAAGTCTCCAAATAACAAATGCTGGTGTGGATGTGGAGAGAGAGGAACACTCCTACACTGCTGGTGGGACTGCAAACTAGTTCAACCTCTGTGGAAAGCAATATGGAGATACCTTAAAGCAATACAAGTGAATCTACCATTTGATCCAGCAATCCCATTGCTGGGCATCTACCCAAATGATCCAGTGACACTCTACAAAAAAGACACCTGCACTCGAATGTTTATAGCAGCACAATTCATAATTGCAAGGCTGCGGAAACAGCCCAAGTGCCCATCAAATCCAAGAATGGATTAATAAAATGTGGTAAATGTATACCATGGAGTACTATTCAGCTCTAAGAAACAACGGTGATATAGCACATCTCATATTTTCCTGGTTAGAGCTGGAACCCATACTACTAAGTGAAGTATCCCAAAAATGGAAAAACAAGGCACCACATATACTCACCAGCAAATTGGTATTAACTGAGTAGCACCTAAGTGGACACATAGGTACTACAGTAATAGGGTATTGGGCAGGGGGGAGGGGGGCGGGTATATACATGCATAATGAGTGAGATGTGCACCATCTGGGGGATGGTCATGCTGGAGACTCAGACTTGTGGGGGGAGGGGGGAAAGGGCATTTATCGAAACCTTAAAATCTGTACCCCCATAATATGCCGAAATAAAAAAACAACAACAAAAGTGGCAATTTCAGAAAGTGACAAATACATCAGAAGGAGTGAACGAGGTGCTAGTGGTGCGGCATAATGGAGAGGGTGACCGAGGACAGTGGTCAGTGGTGGATGCTGGGGAAGGTCTGTCCACAGAGGTGGCACTTCGGCTGACGCTGAGAATGAGCAGCCAGCATGCCAAGAGCCTGCGAAAAAGCACTGCAGTCAGAGGGAGAGCAAACACCAAGTTCTTGCAGCTGGAAAGCATGTGCCATACCTGAGCTGAAGAAGGATGTTGCTGGAGTGCAGTCACCCTGGCTCCCGGATGCATTTGGGGAAGCAGGCCAGGCTGGGCGACTGCATGGACTTCACAAAGGCCACTAGAAGGAGTCCCAGTGCAGAGAAGCCAGGGTAGGGTGTCGCGGCCCGTGTACAGGACGGAGGATGAACACAGAACATAAAACACAAACACAGAACACAAAGAAAAACGCAGACACACATACAGACAGTTGACTCGAGTAATAATACACCGGGTCCGTTTTATTTTTATACTCTAAAAAATTAAAGTTAGTTCCTTGTACATAACCACCCAGGCATTGCAGCAATGGCCATAAATTCTGGAATAGCCTTAGGGAAGCAGATGTCCCCTGACTCAGAATCTCCAGGTGGTTGCTCTAGGCGCCAGGCATAGATCACGGGCTGAGATTAGCAAAGATGGGCAGGTTGCCACAGGGGGCATTTCTCATCCCCAGATTCTCTTAGGGTGATCCCCTAAGATCTTCGGCTGAACCCCTGTTAGGGACCGACCTTCCACAGCCCCACCGGACAGAAAAGCAGAGACATTGAGGATGCAATCACACAAGAGGAGGTTTATTTTTCTGGCTAGCCAGGGTCCAAGCCCCAGAGCACCAACGCAGTGGCCACTCTCGCAGGCAAGGACCCCGACCGGAACAACGGCATGCCTTTTATCCCCACGGTGCACAAGCTGCACACAAGCCGACTACGCATGGATCATGCGTTGACCTTTAAAATGATTGGTTGCCCACTGTTGCCTTTTGAAATAATTGGCGGGTTGGTTGCCCTCTATTGCCTGATGGGCCAGTCGCCCGTGCTTCAGTGACCTCATCCCATAATTCCCCCTACAGCGGTGTAGCAAGCAAGCAATGACCAGAAGCAAAGGTTAGCTCATTGCCCCACCCAAGTAAATTCCCGACAATTGGAAGAATTCCTCTGCCCTTCCTCTGTCCTACAAATTCCTCTTCCCTACACCCCGGTGGCTTTGCCTGGCTTAGGTCGCCCCTCCCTTGAGGGGTCTTACCCATCATTGACTAACCAGCCATCTTATGGGGTGTTTATCATGTGGCCTCCAGACCCCCAATGCCGTGGGGCGGGACTGCTCTTGCTAGCAGCTCAGGTCCTTTGTTATGCCTCTAGGCAACACCTTTGTTTATCACAGGGAGCCTGTCCGGAACACATTACTTTCAAACACTCTGGGCAGAACACGTACATTACTCACTAACTTTAATTCTTAAACTAGGAAAATATATGTCAGTCCCTTACAGTAGGGTTTTAAGCTGGGACTGACATGGTAGCATTCATGTTTTCAAGACCTTACTCTGGCTGCTGTGTAGAAAGGGATTAGAGGAGGATGAGTGTAACCAGGGAGATAAGTTGGGAGTTATTTACTCAGCACATATTCACTGCGCATACCCTACATGCTGGGCATTGGTCTAGGTGTGAGGGATTTGGTAGTCACGACACAGACAATCCTTTAGGGGCAAGAGATGGTGGTCCTTGGACAAAAGGGTAACAGTGGGTTTGAGAGAGGTGCAATGCATAAAGAATTTGTGGAAGATTGAATAATTGAACACTTGGTCCCAATTCTTTAATCCCTAGCCCCTTGCTGTGGATTCATGGCAGACATAGTGTACTTCCTACCTCTTGACTTTGGGCTTGTCTGTGTGACTGGCTTTAGCCAGTCACACAGACACAGTCATGTGAGCAGAACACAGTCATGTGAGCAGAACACGCTAGCGTGATTGGTCTGCCCTCTTGGGCTTCTACCATCACCATGAGATCATCCCTGGGGTAGCTGCTGTCCTTCAGCCTGAGCCCCAGAATGGACACACATGGATTGTATCAGATCCCACTCCACCCTGCAGCCTGCAGCCAACCAAGTCAGCTGAGCCCAGCTAAACTCAGCCAAATACCCACTGACCTGCAGTTCTGCAGTTTTGGGAGTGAGAAAAATATTCATTGTTTAAGCCACCGAGGGTTGAGGTTAATCCAAAGCATTCTGGAGGAAACTGCTCTTTGATT